CTAGTCCATGCTGCCGCCGAACCCGAACGCGTCCTCCTCCTCCTCGCCTGCGAACGCTTGCTCGTCTTCGTCGGCGCCCGCCCTCGCGGCGTTCGCGTCCCTCATGAATGCCTCGCACAGGTCATACATGGAAATCGGGGTCTCCTCGCAATCGTCGACAGAAATCGCATGCTCCTTGCTGTCCACGTCGGGCACCGCGATGCACTCTTTGCTCGCGGCGAGGGCCGCCGACCGCTCCAGGAAGACGTCGTTCTCGATGAGGATGGCCGCGCACGAGGAAGCGCCGTCGCCCACCCTGGACCTCTTGGAAGGAGGCTCGTCCGTCGAGTCCACGTCAATGGGGTTCCGCTTCGTCTGGTCGGCGAGTTCGGAGTTCATCGTGAAGAAATCCTCCTCCTGCTCGCGCTTCACCTGCACGCGGTGGACCTCTGGGTCGGCGAAGATACTGCCAAAGAGATGCTGCTCCTCGCTCACCAGCGCGTCCAGCTCGGCAGAGTCGCGAAGTATACCGCGTTCGGTGTAGGCCTCAAGGACGCCCTTCGCTTTCTGGGTGATGTAGGAGCCCTCGTTCTTGTACGTGACGATCGTGGAGGACGCGTGCAAGCCCCGAGGCCGGACGTGGACGTAGTGCTCGGTGTTCACGATCACATTGGCACGCTTGAAGATGGCCTCCAGGTCCGCCTCAGAACACGGGGGAAAGCGGGCCTCACCATTTTGATGAAGGCCTCGTTCGTGATGCGGTCCGCTGCGCCCCCTAGGACAGCCCCTGCCCTGACCTGCCTGCCGTCGAGCGTGACCGTTGGGTCGAGGCTGGCGTCGAACTTGTTATCGGCCATCATCCTGGGTTGGCACTGCACGAACTTACTGGCGCCCCACCTCTCACGGGTGAGGGACTCCCTGCAGCTGACGTCCAAGAAGCTTTTGAACACCTTCACGGACAGGTCCGACATGTCGCCGTCGTCGAGGCAGCAGCCGCACCAGCGCTCGCCTGGCTCGTCGCGGTAAAAATCGAGGTCCGTCGCCGTCTTGAACATGGGAACAACGTCGGTGTCGCGGGCACCCTGGTCCTTTGGAACCTCGAGAGGGCCATCATCAGCACATGCATCAGAGGTGTCTTGCCCATGCCGCCGAGGCCAAGGAATGTGATCGACTTGCGCTTCAGCGACGGAATCAGCGGCTCTAAGATCTTCTGCGCCCATGGCTCCACGTCGCCCCACGCGATCGGCAGGTACGTGTACTTGCTCGCCGTCACCGACTTGCTCCGCAACTGCGCGAGACACTCTCGGATGTCTTTCTTGTCCAAGCACTTGATCTTGCTGCCTGGATCCGCGAGCTCCTGCAGCATCCACCTCGTCTGTTTCAGGTCGGCGTTGTTGTACGGCGCGTGCGCGCGGATGTAATCGATCGCCACTCCTATTTCGGATTGGCTGACCACCCTGTCGGCCAAGTTTTGGTCGAACGACCACCAGCGATACTGCAGGCCACCGAGCTTGTCCAACATGAAGTTGAAAGCGAGTGCGCCGACTCTCACCTGATTGCCCCAGTTAGTCTTCATCAATACGCCCTGGCACACCGCGCCGTACACATCGTACTCCTGCCGATCGTCGAACTTATAGCGCTTGATGATGGTGTACGAGTTCTCGGCGGCGGCCTCCTTGATCATGACGATCTGCAACTTGAACGGACACACGACGACGGCCGCCGGCTTCATCTTACCAGGCAGGTTCATGTACATCTGCTGCGCCATGAAGCCTGCGACCTCGTCTGGGTCGAAGGCGTCGGTGTAGCTTTGGACAACGTCAACGACGTGCGTCATTTTTCCTGAAGATTGGTCCAGAGATGTGAGCGGCAAGTCCATCATGCCTGTGACGCCGTTCTCCTGCTTTCCAGAGAAAGCGCACTTCGGCAGCTGCTTAATCTTCAGCCCCTTCACGATGCTGCACGCCATGGCGAACGTGTAACGCGGCTCGCCCGTCTCCGCCTGCACCTCGAGTTCCTCAGCCAAAGAATTGGGAGCACCCACGACGGCGGCCATGGGGGGCGAAAGCTGCAGCGTCAACTCTCGACGGTGGCGACGTGTGCATGATCATTACGATACTTGAGCCATAACAGCTGCGACGGTATGATGAAGTGATGTGATGAATGGTGATCGGGGCGGGTTGGCCCACCGAGGGCTCTGCTGGGCCCGGGGGGGGGCCCTTCTTGAATGTTTCGGGGGGGCCGTTTCGGCGACTTTCTCGTGCAAAAAATAAGGGAAAACTGAGCCGAGTTAAGAAAAACTCGGCTGAGTTATGAATTGCAAAAACTGCAACCGAAGAACACCAAACAATGACATCTAAGGGGCCCAAGGGGGCCCCCATACTGCCCAAGAATCCTCCAGGACGGCCCCAAGAAGGCCCGAAAACCAAAGAAATCCATCTAAAGAGCCCAAAAGCGCCCCAAGATCGCCCAAGAATCCTCCAGGACAGCCCCAAGACGGCCCGAAACGCCTCCATGACGGCTCCAACACAGCCTGAGAGACCCCGAGGAGTCTCAGTAATGCCCCAAGACGGCCCGAAGAACCCCCGAGAGGTCCCGATACACCCCACATCGCGCACCCCAAGGACCCAACGAAGCCTCTGAGAGACCCCCCACCGCACGCCTTGAATAGCCCACCGAATGGTTTCCACGAGCCCAGGAGAGGCGCTCACGAGGCCTTCCGCGTTGCATCTTTGGGAGGGAGGAGGAGGGAGGAAGGAAGGAAAGAAGGAGAGGGAGGAGGTTGACGAAGGAGGAAGAAGGGAGAGGCAGGAGGAGAAGAGAGGGAGGAGGTTGACGAGCGCAGGACGAGCGGGGGGGCGAGGGAGGAAGAGAGAGGGAGGAGGTTGACGAAGACGACGACGACGACGACGAAGACGACGACAGGGGGCACACGTCACGGCCCCCTGCGCGCTCCCCGACGCATAACTGCCACGGGTGCTGGGCTGGCGCGACGGCGGGATTTGCAGCAGGATGCTGCGTATCTGTGTGCGAGCAGGAAGACTGCTCTCGCCAGAGGAAGCACGAACAGCGGCAGGACGAGGATGTTGGGAATGGGGGATGAAGCAAGTGCGGTTGCCACGCTATATAGAATCATACCCAGGAGGGAAGGGGGCGGCGGGGAGAGTTAGGGAGACGGGGGAGGAGGCGCGAGAACTGGGGAGGGCGAGAGGGGGGAGAAGCATCAGCAAGAAGAAAAAGAGGGGAAGTGGCGGGGCCTGCAGGGAGGGGAAGGGGGAGCGCTCGCGGAGCAAAAGGAAAGTGGATTTTTTTGGGGCTGCGCAGCAGCTGCGTGGATCACCTGCGGGCGGGCTTCTTCTTGAGCATGTGTTTCTTCACCTTGCCCTGCGGCGAGGGCGCCTCGTCCCGATCTTTGCCGCCCCACGAGCCGGTCAAGTATGTCTGATAAATCTCCATCCCCTTACAGGCATTCTGCGATCCATCCGTAACGAAGAAGTGTGGAAACATTTTCTTGGTGTCGTCTTCGAAAGTGATGGTCTTCGGCACCTGCTTGTACACGCGGTCGCACAACTGCTTCATGGTGTTCGTGCCGCGCGGCCCGCGCTGGCCGACGGCGTTCGCGATGCGCAGGAAGGCCGCCGAATTCTTCCCGCCCTTGATGTACCCTGCCAGGGTCTCCTTGTCCATCCTGCAGGTGAACACTGGGAAGGCGCATCCGGCGTCCCACAGTTGCAGGAACTCCAGCGTATGGCTGAAGATCAGCGTGCCGCCGAACAACTTCATGTTCTCCAATACAGAAACGAATTTGGCAGGCGTGTCCGCGAGGACGAGATCGTACAGCGTCTGCGGACTTTTCCATAAGGGCTGGAGCAGCGCGTCCAATGTATAGCCAGCGCCCCACGTCTTCTGTTCAGTGGTATGCTGGTTTCTCTTCCGCTTGGGGTTGGCCTTGATGCCGTACATCGGCGTCTCGTGCAGGCAGGTTTTCTCGTAGAAGGCCGCCCACACCTTGAAAGAATCGAGCAGGACCGACCCGTTTTCGGATAAGTACGACAGCGCCTTCTCGCTGCGCACGCAGAGAAAGTACAGGGCAGTGAGGACAATCATGGCCCTCGCGTGGGTGTCGCGCTGCACGCCGCCCCAGCTCCGCCACCACTGAGCGCCCATGTTATAGAAAGCATCGTCGCCGCCATCTTTGTACACTGGATGGAGGTTCAGGCCAAGCACTACGTCCTTGACGCAAAGACCCGAGAGAGGATTCACCAGAGTGACCAGGGCGTGCCAAAGCTCCAACGTCATCTCGCCGCCCTCGAAAGCAACGGGCGTTTTCCAGCCATCAAAAACTTTTAAAAAAACCAATGTTTTCACAACTTAGTCTGTCTGGGACTGGCCGGCCACCCAAGCCGAGTAAGTTGTGAAAACATTCGTTTTTTTTTTTTTGAGTTTTTTGTGACCCTCACAGGGATTAGTTGGATTTTTTTGGATTTTTTTGGATTTTCAATGGTTTTCCAATGTTTTTGGATTCCCAGCCCCCCGAGCCCCAGGCCGACTAAGTAGCGAAACGATTGCGTTTTTTTGGTTTTTTGGGACCCTCACAGGGATTAATTGGATGTTTTTTGGATTTTTTTGGATTTTCAATGGTTTTCCAATGTTTTTTGATTCCCAGCCCCCCGAGCCCCAGGCCGACTAAGTAGCGAAAAGATTGCGTTTTTTTGAGTTTTTTGGGACCCTCACAGGGATTAATTGGGTTTGTTTTGGGTTTATTGGTTTTTCAATGGTTTTGGTGTTGTTATCTCCGATTGCTCCTTCCTCCTCCTCCTCCTCCTCCTCCTCCTCATCATCATCATCATCATCATCATCATCATACTCCTCCTCATGGTTCAACGCACGTGGGAGTTTCACACACGCATGGCAGCGGAACAACACATACAACCAACAGCAAACATGAGACACGCAACAACGCAGCAAACAAGTAGCACAACAAGTTAAACGCAGCACAGCGAAAACACACAGGCTACCAA